GTGGATAAAAAGGCAAAAAATAGCATAAACATCAGTTTAAAAAGAATGAAAATAAAATTAATTTCAAAAGAAAGAAATGGGAAAATAGGAAAAGGAGAATAAGAAAAAAATTAAAAAGTTAAATATAGTAAAGAAAGTAAGGGATAACTGGAAAAAAACAAAAAAGAACCAAGCAAAAAAGGTAAATAACATTTTAAAAAGAAAGGAAGATGTATAAAGTGATTAGAAATAACAAGAGCAAAACAAAAATTAAAAACAAAAATTTCCTTTTTGTTGAGGTAATCAACTATCATCAAGAATGTATATTCACAACCTATGCTGTTCATAGCCTCTTTCTATATTTTATTAAGCTATGAAGAGAGAAAAATTACTTTTATTTTGCATGCTTCATAGAAAGTGTTTTGTGTTTTTAGCCAATTGGAATAGCTCTCCTATGTCCTGCACAGCAGAATAAGTGAGGGATGAGGGCAGACTCCCAGGCAAAGATTTACTCCATTGCTGTCTGCAGTATGCACTCCAAGTGTGAGGTAAGTGCCAACATGGCAGCACTGAAACTTATGTCCTTGAGAAAGCACATTTCTTCAGATTCCTACAGAAGGCCCCTCAAAATCCTAGTCTTAAGGGAGAATTGATCTTCTGTTCTGTTACGCACTACAGTTCTATTTTTTACCATGGAATTCTCAGTGCATGGGTTTTGGAGGCTCTCTTCCCTGGCTGGCTGTTGAGTCAGTAGAGTAATATTTCCAGTCAGAACAGGGATCCTGATATGGAAAAATTCAGGGGCCTTTGGCTTCCAGGACAGTAAGTTCAGATAAAACCTTCCCAATATGACCCCCTATTTTAGCACCGTTAGAATGTGATGGGCAGTGCTGAGAATTTCTGCAGATCCAGGTTGCTATTCATATAACAAGCCTGTTGCCTGTTTAGACTGCATATTTTACAAGATATGAAATCCTATACCTCATGGTATGTACTGGGACTTCCTGTCTTTCTCCTTTACCCTTACCCTCTGTGCGATCCATGTTGGGGAGCTCTGTTTCACCCTCTGGCCCACTATTCAAATGATCTGGGTATCTTCAAATCACTTTTATCCACTGCTGAACTTCAACAGTTTCCCAGTTTCCCTCTTTAACAATCCACTGTCCTCCAGTTGATTCTGTGTCACAGAAAAGGGGGAAATTACTTGGCGCTTCTAACATGCTAATTTCTAGATCCAAGATTTGTTTGATTTTTTAAATAGCTTCCAATTTTGTTAATTTTTTTCTGTAGTAATATTGAGATATTCCCATATATTCTCATGGAGCTCACTAAGTTTTCTTAAAACAGCTGTGTTAAATCCTCCTTTTAGTTTTCCCATAAGGTCTACCAGTGAGTCACTTCTGGTGCTGTATTTTAGCTGCTGGGTAAGCCCATGTTTCCCCAAAACAGGATTATAGTAAGACAAGAAAAAGGAAAAATTTTGTAGAACTATTTCCATTTATAGATGATATCATCATTTATAAAATACTAAAAATTCTTCAAAGCAGTTACTAGGTATAATACATAACATGACAAGAAAATATGATATTAATATAAAATCATATGCGTATCTGTATTAGTGGCAAACACTTGGAAATAAAATTAATCAGCTTCATTTACATTCGTGGGAAAATGCTGAGAATTACTTTTAACAAAGCCATGCAGTAAGAACTCCATAACGCTGCTGAGGGAAATGAAAGAAGACCTGGATAAATCACTTTACACATTAAAAGACTCAGTAGACAATTATAAGTTTAATCAAAAGATTCTGCCTGTCATTTCCTTGCTGCATGAGTAGAATTAATGTCTGAGTATTATCTTATTAGCTGGATGAATTTGTCAGAAGCTCTGTAGTGTTATCTGTCTTTTAGCAGCTTCCTTGTGCCTGACTTTATAACCTTTTAACTACCAATGATTGACAAATACTCAATGGGAGATAATGGAATACAAAATCTTGCGCTCATCATTTCTATGCAATCTTTATTGCTTGGTTCAGAGAAAATATGTTTCTGAGATTTCCAAATCTCTCATCTTTCATTTTTATGCTTATATAAAATTGAACAATAAAATATTAGTCTTAACTCAAATTTTCTTGATCTCTCTTAAAAATATTTGTTAAAATTGGAGTACTAGAATCAGGATCTAGACAAGGTTCAATATTGCATAGGTTGATATAGTTTTGGTTTCTTGATCTGCACCAGTTCCTTATTCCTGTTTTTTTTTTTTAACTCTATGAATTTACCAATTAATACCAGCCATTTTTTCTGCCAAATATTTGATATTTTGTATTTGATGGCATTAAATCTACATGCTGTTTTTGCACATTTCTGTCTTCCACATATTTCCTGCGTCATTAAGTGTCATTAAGTACACAGTTTTTTAAAGAAGTTTTTTTGTGTGTCATTAAGTACACAGTTTTTTAAAGAAGTTCATTTATACTTTTTTTGTACTTTATAAATATTTTGCCATGTGATATATGAATATTGATCAATGAGTTCAAGTGTTGTCAACTTATGTATTTCTTATAAATTTTATTTTGAAATTGCTACTCAATTTTTTAGCTTTGCTTGTTTTTTTCTTGGGTCTATTAATTATTTATGTTATAAAATGTAGATTAAACTCAAAATTCCTATGGCAATTGTAAACTTGAGTTTTTAATAATTTTCTAAATTAATTGTGTGGTTATTTTTTTCAGCATTATAATATATGAAAAGCAGAATAAATACTTGATTCTTCATGTTCATCATGTCAGAATATTTAATGAACATAATAATGACCTATAAAGAGGAGGCATTTGTCCTTATTAATGCCTCTTTTGATATCATCCCATCTACAGAGTATATTATCAACTATGGAGACTAGTAATTTGATATAGTCTTGAGCATCATTTTGCTTTGCATATATCTTAACACAAGAGAGCTTGAACAGTTTTAATATATTTAAAGATGGTTCTCATGTTTTTATATTAAATGTAAACTTATATCTTTTGTGTATTTGTCTATCAGGTTTTTTAGAGGTTTTTAATATAACAAAACTATTACTATTACTTGAGATGTCTAACAATGAGGCTTCTCCTATTGCTGTACAGCATTTGGAATTGTCACATAGAGTAACACCGGTTTTGTTTCATTCACAGGTCTGTTTCTTAGGACTGTGACAGAATTCTACAAGAAGGCAAAATGTATGAAATACTTAATATTTTTTCTCTCAACTTCATATGTTTGCATATCCTAGAGGTCTATACCACTCTGAATAGCTTAGGAGATAAACATGAATTCATGCATGTTTACCAAAGTGTCAGAACAAGGTAGATCTATCTACAATAAATCCTTTCAAAATGTAAATTTTTGGAAGAAATTTCAACATACGATACCAGGAGTTTTAAGTTGTCATTGCCTATAATTGAAGTAGTGATAAAAGAATTGTGGCAAGGCAAATAGAATGACCAGATTAAATATCAGTTCCTTTAAAAAGAGCTATATTAAAGATAAATAATGTCATTAAAGTGACTTTGATAAGTAAAGAAATTACTTCATTTATCTTTACAGTTTTATCACCCATTAAAATTAATTTTATAAAGTCGATATCAGATTTACCACATTCTTAGGATATAAAGGTATTTACTCATATTTTCTTGCATATTTGTATATGTTTTTTAAAATAATAGACTTATGTGCTGAATTTAGTAAGAAATTGTCTCAGCATAGGATATTATGAACATAACTGCTGCATCCTCCTTAGATTGATATCCTGTCATTCCACCTTCTCATTATAAGAGCCTTCTTTTTTCTGCTGATTTGAGACACTGTCATTCTCATTATTTAGTCATCTATTGTTTTCAATGTAGTTATTACTTATCTGTTCTATTTTTTCTGGAGCGGATATAACTCTAACCTTTCACTATCTAACTGTCTTTATCTGTTAATTTAAGCTAAATTTTGACAAGCTACATTACTTTTGCCTTAAAATATTTAAATACTCATTTTCAACCAGGTTTAATGATTTGTACTAGAAAAGAGAGGGAGTTGTCACAAATACTTGTGAAATATTTTTATTTAAATTTATATTGCCCTCTATTTTTATTTGAGTTTTTATAACGTCGTCCTACAATGACAGAGTGTTAGTATATGAGTACACACATAAATATACAAACACACTTGCACATAAATATACAGATTTAAACTTTCAACTACAGAGCCCCAAATGAATGTCTGTTAAGATTGGCACATGTCATGTTCCTCAAGCACTTTGGGAAAAAATACAGGTTAAGAACTTTTACTTTTGTTCATATATAAAATTCATAATAATCATATTATTTTCTAATATTTATTGAATGGTGAAAATGTATCATGCTATATGATACACATATCTATTGTTTCACTATCCCTCATAATAACCATAAACAATAGGTATTCTTAATTTTTTTCTAAAAATATAGAAACCAAATCTTATGAAAGTTAATGTTTTAAAAGTCACAATTAGTAAAGGGTGAATAGAGTTAAACACAGCTATTTGGCTTTAGAAAGTTCACCACAAAAAATCATATACAGTCTAACTAATGTACTTTGTACCAACATATTGGGAAGTTAGATCACCCTAAATCCTGTTCACTACTTATGAGCAGTTGTTATATACCTTAGGAGGTCAAGTGCTTACAAAACAAATGTTACATTGGTAGACTTACATTGTGCAAAAATACTAACATATCTATCCTTTCATTGTTCCAAAAATTAGTGAAGTACTATTATGAATGAACAATATTAACTTTGCTATATTGAAGATATGACATGAAATGATAATGAAGGGTAAATTGAGGGGGTTTATATGAAATTCCTTTGACAATTACTAATGAAGGGGGAAGGGAAGTTACAGGGTTTTTTTTTTTTTTTGGTGGGGAGTTACAGCTTTCTTAAACTTTACTAAGTAATTTACCAAATTTACAATATATCATTTTCTAAAATAATCTTTCACTTTCAAAGAGTCTAAGCCTTTACCCTAAAATTCACGTTCACTTTTCTCAGCTGTCTCATTGCGGTCTTCATGTCTTTGTTTCTCAGTGTGTATATCACTGGGTTCAAGAGAGGAGTAACCACAGAGCAAAACACAGCGAAGAATTTATCTAATGATCTGATAGGGAATGGACAGGCATAAATGAAGATACCTGGTCCAAAAAACAGAAGAACAACCGTGATGTGAGCAGTCAAAGTGGACAGAGCCTTGGATGACTGGTCTGTCGGGCGGCGTTGGATGGTCATTAGAATGATAGTGTAAGAGACGAGTAGGAGGACAAAAGAGCACACTGTGAGCACACCACTGTTAGCAATGATCATGATGTCTAGTTTGTAGGTGTCTTTACAGGCGAGTTGAATTACCCTAGGAAGGTCACAGTAAAAACTATCAACCTTGTTGGGACCACAGAATGGCAGGTTCACTGCAAAGGCCAACTGGCTCACTGAGTGGAGGAGGCCAGTTCCCCATGCAGCAGCCATAATTCCAACGCATATACTGTTGCACATAATTGTCCTATAGTGCAGAGGTTTACAAATTGCTACGCATCTGTCAAAGGCCATGGCTAGGAGGATCACCAACTCACTCCCACCGAAGAAGTGAAGTAGGAATATTTGCGTAAAACACCCCCTGAAAGAGATGACTTTGTGTTTACTGAAAAAGTCAATAAGCATCTTGGGGGCTGTGACTGAAGATAGAGACAAATCAGTGACTGAGAGGTTGGCCAAGAAAAAATACATAGGAGAATGAAGGTGGGAGTTAGAAGCCACAGTTACCACAATCAGAAGGTTTCCAAACACAATTCCTACATAGAAAACAAAAAAGAACATAAATAGGAAAATCTGGAGTTATTGAGAATTGGACAGTCCAAGAAAAATGAACTCAGTGATCACTGAGTAATTTCCTTTACTTATTGTTTCATTCCAGAAGATAACCTCTGTGGTGCCCTTGGAAAAGATGATGAAGAAGTAATCAGGATTGTTACACTGAACTCAAGGCTTTACCCCACTCTAGTACCTTGGTTACACCGAATTGTTCATTTATCCAAGTCTTCCCAGTGTCTCCACTTAGGATGATTCCTAATATTGTTTGTACCATTCTGTCTGTCAGATTAAATCTATGCTGCTACCCTACATCTATATCTTTTTTCTCCCATGTTCAAAAACAGTGCTTATTATGATATATATATATATATATATATATATATATATAGTACTGGGGATCAAACTAATGACCATACACTTGAAAGGCAGGCGCTTATGCCACTGAGCTAAATCCCCAGCCCTTGTTTTATATATCTTATATAATTTAATGATGCTAAAATTCTTAGGAAAAAGACATGCTAAAATGAAAGGAAGATGAAAATAGAAAAAACAAAAAATGAAAATATAAAAGACATAAGATTTAAAAAATGGGAATGGATAAAAGAAAGGAAAATCCAAATCAGGAGTGAAAAAATTAACAAAAATGCAATAGTTTGCATGACTGAAAGTTTGAAAGAGTTTAATAGAAGATGGAAAGAAATTTTAGAGTGCTTACCATTTAGGTTTTATTATGAAAATAGTGATAAACTATTGAGGTAAGTAACAATAATTGCTTAATAAATTATGTCTATTCTGAATCTGAATTTAAAGTGGTATTAAGCCCAAAACTAGGTACCAAATGCAGGTAGTGACTGCATGAACAGGAACAGAATGAGAAAGAAATTGTTGGTGCCCACTAGACAATATGTTACATTGGCAATATATTATAATGTGAGCATGTAGCTGGGAGGCTACAAACCCTAGGTTTATCTGTTATGTTCCTGGATGACTATGGACAAGACATTTCAAAGCTTTCAGTCTTATGGTCAGATCTGAACAGGATGGGTGGTGGTGGTACTACTTCATAGGAGTGAATAGGGAATTGGATGTGGTCAAGAATATAAATTATCTAGCATAAAATAAGTAGTCAATAAATCAGTGTTCATTAGGGAAAAATAATAGAAAATTTGCCAACAGTATACAGGAAAATACACCATTAAAACACATTTATTCTGAATAATTGGGAAACATAATAAATATAATGAAAGCTAATGTAATTCTACCTCACATATAGATGAATTTGAAGAGTACAATGAATTTGGAAGGCGGTAAAGGATAGCGATAGCTGTCCAAATACATGGAGTCATTGCTGGTATATTCTTGTAAGTTGCTCTCTGATACATTGCTGAGACACTAAACAGAGACTTGTGACATGAGTCCAGAGTGTTTTTAAAGGAACACTACTGTTTGTTTAGCTCACTTACTTGATTATAATTTCCCATTGCCTTTGTATATTACACTTTTCATTATTATGAATGCTATTCACTGAAGCAACTTGTTACTGTTTCAGTCTTACAAAATTTAGTGATTCCAATTTTTTCTAAGCACAGAGAGAAGTCCAATGGTGAAATAAATCATATACACTTATTTTAGTTCCTTTCTGTTTAACATAGAAATAAATGCAAGCATAATAATCATTGATAGGACAGTAGTTTAGCTCAGTGGCACAAGCACCTGCCTGGAAATCACAAGGTCATGAGTTGATCCCTGGTACCAAAAAAAAAAAAAAAAAAAACATTGTTAATGCAGAGTATAGAACACAGAGATCATTTTTTATGTGGCAAGTTGGTTAGGATGTTTGTCATCAAAGCATTTAATTTGTAATCAATTTTAGTATTTTTCTTTTGTAAATCCATTTCATTTCACTAGTGAGAATAAATTTAAAGTTATATCTCCATGAAAAATATACCAATGAGGGTGGTTGACTCAAGGGTTCTCATTTGTAACAAAAAGAAATCTCTATTAACAGTAACAAGTAAGAATTCCAGAATGCCACTGTTCAGTAATATAAGTTTCTTGCTCAACTATTTTTCATATCATATCTCTTGAAATTATGCTGTAAAGAGGAGAGTAATAATTTTGGATCCTCAGCTACATCTACAGCTACCCTCCTGTAATTCTTTCAGAGCCCAATTAGGACTCTTAAAAAGTCATTCAACAAGTTTTGAAACTGTGTTTCTAATATAAGTTCTAACATTGGAGTTCTCCCAAATCTCACACACTAGTTATAAAATTCCTGAAAAGCCAGCCACAGTTGAAAAAGCAAATACTTCCCCAGGCACTACATTAAGTTTTCAGTTCAACCATTATAATTTTATATTTTTTCTTAAAATAACTTTTACCTTTCATTAGGGCACACACTGTATGTCTTTATAACTATCATTGTGATGGAAGGCAGGAACTCAAGTTCTAGCAGAAATTCACTTCATGATTTTGGTCATGCCATTCAAAATTTTGTAATCATAGTTTTCTTGTTTTTCAAAATGTGTTTGTTTATAAAGCTTTTAAAATCTCGGCATACCAGCATGATTTGCACCTTTATGTCCCAATCCAGTTTTTATTGGTATTGTAAGAAGAAGCCAAGAAAGTTGGCAAACAAATGCTGGATTTGGGGAAAAAAATAAGAGCAGGACCACTGAGTAGTAAAGGATAGATTAGCCCAACATATTGGGAAAAGGAATCAACAATTGCTTCCAATAGAACCCTAAAAAATTATATTTTATAATATTTATAACAAGTCTTTTAAATATTTAAACCTACCTATACAGAATCTTTCCATTTTTCCTAAGATAAAAGCATTAATTCTGAAAAATGGATTTCTACTAAGAGAAATGTATCATTGTTGATCAAAGACTGAGATTTACTTAGTTCTACAATATGTTTATTATATACAGTTGTGTTCATCATTCCACCTACCTCCTTCATAATGGGAAGAGATTACAGCAATTTTCAGTGAAAGAGTACAGATTTCCTTTTATATGTACTCTCTAAAAGTATTAAAATTTGAAGGAGGAAAACATTTATGGGAATTTTCTTCCTTAGTAAATTAATTATGAGTTCATTATGAAGATGATGAGAAGCAAATGAACAGACATGGAAATGACCAGCCTGAGCTTGGAGCACTGAGACTAATTTATGATCTCACAGGATTTCCCTTGGTCATTAGAAGGAAAACAAAATTTTGTGTTAAGGAACAACACACAGTTTCTTGGCCCATTTGAATATTTTCATTATCTGAATCTGAAGGTGATTTTTAAAGAGCCATGATAAAACAAATAAGAGAAAATTGTAAAAGTAAATTCTAAATAGGCCTACAGAGGTGAACAGTAATGCTTAGATTTGACAAAGTAAGAACAGCATGCAATACTGATGACCAATGTATGGAGAAGACGTAAGAATAATACCTCATGCAGTAATAGAATATCTCACATATCACTTACTACTTTATTCAAAAGCTTTAATCAATATGTAGCATTTAAAAATGGGGTTAGATGCATACATTAATATTTCCTAAATCTACTAAAACTACACCTAAATGGGGTTTCACTTTTGCTTCTTCATTACCTGGGTTTCCAGGTTTTATCTAAAAGATGTCAATCATCTTTCTTGTACTGAGACAAGTTTTGATATTTGGTGAAGCACCTTCATCTGGTAAATGTATCTCATTTAGCACTTCTAGAATTTTTCGTGCTGTATGTAATGAATAGGGAATGCGGTATATTTACACAACAGAATATTACTAAGCCATGAAGAAGGAGAAATTAAATCATTTGTAGGAAAATGGATAGATTTTGAGCCCATAATGCTAAGTGAAATAAATCAAACATGGAAGGTAATGGTTTCTCTAGTATTCAAGATATAATATAAACAATTTAAAGAGCAAAATGAAAGAGAGGGCAAAAAACAAGGAGAAAGATCCTGTGGGTATGGGAAGGGGAGTTTGGGAAGAGAAAGAGGGGAGAAGGGAAAACTGAACAAGAGATACAATGTGTCAGTACCAATTCTCCAGATGGATTCAGTTATTATATATTGCAAACATATACTAATTTAAAAACTGTTTGAGGAAGACTGCAAGAGCAACAGAATTGTGTTGCTTCAAAGATGGGACAAACAAAAATTTTTCTTCATGTAAAGTAGTAGAGGTTGTTTCTATAATGATACTGTACAAAATAGATTGAAAACCAGATTGAAAAAAATACTTGAGCTATAACATATTATCAATTTTTTACTCATATAATATAAAGTAAAATAAGAATTTAAAATAAGAATTATTTCACCCTTTACATAAACCCATTTCATCCATTGAATTGATACAATATCCCTAAGAAATATCTATCAATTTTCAGTGATGTGTGTTTTTAGTATTATGATTCCAATATGTTTAAATCATAAAAATTTTTACAAAATATAAAATACATCAAAACTCAGTGTAATCATTGTTAGTAGGTTAACAACAAAGTCCACAATAGAAAAAAATGTATCCAGTGACTTAGTAGGAAAAGGCCACACATAGAGAATTATGCATGGAGCAAAGAACAAAACCACTACAGTGATGTGAGCTGACAAAGTGGAAAATGCTTTCGATAAATCTTTGGAAGAATGTTGCCGAACATTAACCAGAATAAAAATGTATGACACAATTAAGAAAAAGAAAGTGCCCATAGAGAATTTAAGAAGTTAGAAAAATGAGCAAAACAAGCTCAAAAATTCAGGTGAAGAAAAGAATAAAGATAAAAAATAAATATGTTAATATGGAAAACCAGTTATAAAATAGTTCTGCAGAATTTTAAAAATTCAAACATATAAATGTAGTAAACAATAGCATTAAACATGAGAACATAATGCATATTAATAGTTAAGACCTCTCTAAAAAGCAGTTCCTCCATGAGCCTAAAATAGACTATCCCAAACATATAAATTGATCTATACTTGAATTTGAAAGCTGTAGAGACACAAAAGATTGATACCTTGTTAAAATCAAAAAGAGCTTAAACCATTCAGGAGAAGCTCCAAAATTTCATAGGTAAATTAATGATAAGAAGATATATATTTTTTCAAAATCAAAGAAATATGATACAATAAGATAGTACTATTTTCCTATTAAATTAAAATTTTTTCAATTATTATTATTAAAGGTGGCAAAGATTCAGTGAAATAGGCACTTTCATACATTGCTGTAGGTTATATAGACTAATTTCAAACCTTGAAGCAAACATTTTGAAAATATGTATCAAGAATATTGACCCAACGCTGTTGGAGTAATTATATTTCTTCTGGAATTCTATTTATACAGAAGATACTCTCAGCACAAGAACCATTCATCTATTTATTCGCTTTATTGATAGAGGTAAAGTCCTGATATAATTTAAATACAAAGCACTAGGTGTTGTATGTGTACCTGGTGAACTGTATAACAGCTATTAAATAAATGTTAACAGAATTTAAAATAGCACCATGGAGACTTTCATTTAAAATATCCATAAAAGGGTATATAAATTCTTTTACATAACAGTAATTGCTTTTGATTTTTCAGAACTTTAAAATCTAAATTCTTTTAATATATCTACCCTTGTATATGTTGTATTTATATTAGTATACTTGCTAAAATAAAATATGGCTTTGAAAGTTGGAGGAACAAATTGCTTATTAAAATTTTTTGAAAACCAGGATTTCATGACAATTATAAGGACAAACTGACTGAAGGAGTAAAGGACCAAAATACTTCCTTTACCCAATTGCTTCATAAAAGCATAGATGGGATTATCCAGGAATGGAATGGAATTAGACAAATGAAGTTCTTATCAAACCGGAGTTTGTGAGAGTCCATGCAGTTAAGACATTTTGAAGCATTCCATCCAGGCAACTGACAAAAAACTCTCCCTGCTCTATGCTGACCAAGGTAAGCTATTCTGAGTGACTTCTGCTAACAGTGAAGTAGCTATGAGGAAACGATGTACTAGTACCCTCACCCCTTCATGGGGAGCAAGGTTAGTAACTCTGCGGTGGGAGGTACTAAGATAAAAAGCAGTAAATGGTCTAAAACATAGACAATGGGGAGAAATGTGATAGCAAAAGGTAATACTTTGGCAAAAATATAACAGACAGAAGCAAATTAATTTGATTCCTTCACTGTATTTACAATGTACATTTATTTTGTAGCTTCTCAGTTTCTTCACCATCTCCAAATATCTGTGCACATGCCTTTATAAGCACGTTTCCCAGCATTTTGTTAATATATTACTTAATTTTTAAGACTATATTATATCAGTTTGAAATCACTTATAGTATTCTTCATGGACTTACCTATATTTTGATCATATGGGTCACTAGTGGATAAAGACAAAGGATTTTAGGAAGAGAACTGAACCTGGGAAACATCATAGACTTAATAAAATTGAACATTTTTTGTCAGTTCCCTCTACTCTGCTGAAAAGAATTCATT